TGGATGGATGGATGGATGGATGTTGTTGTGGGTGAAGCATAAATCTAACTCCGCTCATGCTTTATGTAAACATGGGTATTAATCATGCTCTATCAGCACATGTAAACACATTCTCCAAATTCCCCCCAACCTTATTTCTCCCAGATTTCTTGTGTGTATTTAACATGGTGAGAGTATTTGCTGTCTAAGTGGTTCCACATAAGATTCGCCCTGAAGGGTATGTACCTTATTGCAGGCGTGGTTGGGCCCAGGTTTCTATACCTCTTGTACTGAACAGGCATTATATCATTGACATGGTGTATATGATTATAGACATGAGATTAATTCATTGTGGTAGAAGTGCTGTGCAGCGATGGACAAAGTCTGCTGTGTTTTTTTTTATGAGCATGTAAATCACTGTTATCAATTTGACAGGTACATGTAGTTGCACTATAGTCAGTCTTTCTGGGTCTGTGAGGCTGTGTTACAGTGATATTATAGTGAATAGACAGATGAATATTGTTGCTGCTTAATAAAAGTGCGGTCAACACATTCACATTAGACATGATTTTAGAATTGCTTTCTAAACCTCCAATACCCCCGTATTATATCATTAATTATTGTATATTATTTGTTTGAAAACATTACAGTATTTCTAATATACGCCAGTGCTAACTTATGTCAGGTCATTCATCAAGCTATCCTGATAAAAAATTGCATATATTATGTACCACCCACCCCTATAGTGCACACACAGTGGTTGGTCATCCAGTGCAACAAATTACACAAAATTATTTCTTTTCAGAGAAAGTTGAGGTTTGAGGGTATTTATCTTTTCCGATATGCAGTTCTCTGCTTTCATTGCTAGTCAAACTTTAATCAAGTATCAGATCCACTGTGGTGGATGGCTTTGTGTTATCTATCAGATCCTGGTGATCAAACGGCGGATGCAGAGACTGTAGATGTTGGTGCGTGTATTTTCTGTCACGGTATCACATACCATCTTCCTGTTGTGTGTTAATTCAGGAAATGTAAGGAGACATACAGTTGTAGCCGTTAGAGAGCACACACTTTTTACTTGAAGTAGTCATGCTTCCTCGCCTGTTCTTTTGGAGGTTCCTAAAAACATTGTAGTTAAGTAGTTGTAGCAGATGCAAATTCTGATTATTATTTATGCAGCTCTTAAGAATAAGAAAAAGAAGGGCTTCCTGCATACTGCACAGGAAATATGCTCATATGCTTTTATTTATAATATACTACAAAATAATATGTTTTGCTAATTTGTCCTTTTTTTCTACAAAATATTTAGGTTTAGTTTAGTTTGTCATATTACTCAATGCTTTTACATGATTGGAAAAATACTCTAGTTGTATTAACTTATCTACTTGAATTTGCGTATGTGTAACGTGTTTTGTTTTCCTTGTAGATCCTGTCTAACCTGGTGATGGAGGGCCTCCTCCCCGAGCTGAGGGAGCTCATCTCCCCCCGCCTCAAAGGCAAACTGTATGAGAGGCAGAAGAACTGGATGCTGGTAAGAAACTAGTCCACACACATTCCACTTAAAATATATATGTATTTTTAATTCAAATGATGCTTTGTAGTTTGAATATCTGAATCATGTTAATTAAAAAAAAAAGAAATAAGAAGCCCTATTAGATTTAGTTTCCCATAATTCTTGGGTTTTCATGGGGGAGGAAACCAGAAACAGCATTTAGGTCACAAGACAGAAAATAATGCCAGTAATACACACAAACACATTTGCATACTTATGCTTTTATTCAAATACCTACCTACTTTACCCACCAGTGATGGTACCAGCTACTATTTATAAAAAGATTCCTTTGTCACCATTTAAAACTTTGCTGAATGTGTGTTTCCTGGTGTGTGTGTGTGTGTGTAGATCAGTGATGCGGTATACAGCCTGGTGCAGGGGCAGTGCCAGGCCCAGTATGAGGCGTTGTTGCAGAAGTGTGAGGCGGCCCGCTCCTCTCTGGAGGCCTCCATGCGAACAGACATGGACCAGATCATCACCTCGAAGGAGCATGTGACCAACAAGATCAGAGGTTAGTGAGAGAGCAGGCATGATTATCTACTGAAATACTTTCTGAAATGACCTGTCTATGATGGTCTGGAGCATCAGTTCAATTAATTATTCTTCACTGCATAAGAAAACATACACAACATAGGGCTATGTATATACATATATATTGGCCTTGCCAACCCTCTGTGAAGCCTAGTGGTGGTCGGAACCTCCAGGTTGGGGTCCAGTGTTCTAGAGTGTGCCACCAGAGTGATTACAGACTAATTCTAGGCTCTGACTCCTGTTGCTGCTCTGTGTGTCTGACTAGCTGTTTCTAAATAAACTATAACGAAATGGAAAATGTTAAAGCCGTATTCTAGTGGCACACTTCAAACTCCATAGGCTTTTATTTTGATAAGCCTTTCATGAAGGACTATGCATACTGATATTTTCTCGTTAAAAATAAATTCTGACAACATTGTTGCATAAGTTCCACTTACCACTGCATTTTCTAGCGAGTATTGTCTGTACTGCAGAAGGACAGTTCAGATATGACCTGCAAACACACACTGGATAATCGTTTACACACAGTTTTATCTTACATCTGCCTGTGAGCCGTTGACATTTGACGCTCGATTTAACCTCCCATTCTCCCTCCTAATACGTCTCTGGCATTTGTACACAGGCTGTTTACTAGCAGCCTGACAGCTTCCTATTGTCACTCACTGGAGACCAGGCAGACCAGCAGCATTCCTCACACTGTTTATGTATGAAGAGAGATTTTAGCTGCTGCTGTGCTGCAATGACATATGGAAGGAGTACCAAACATGTTTGCTTCCTATTCCCCCACAGCTGTGGTTCTCCCCAAGGCCGAGAAGCTGCTGAAGGTGAGCATCCAGCCCTACATCAGCTCTATCCTGGACGCCCTGATGGAGCCAACTAGCCGAGGCTTCTCTGAGGTCCGCGATGTGTTCTTCAGAGAGCTGGTGGACATGAGCAAGAACACCCTCAATGAGGGCACCAAGGAGACCATAGCACAGGTGAGGAGGTGGAGGAGGTTGTGGTGATTGGATTAAAATGCATGAACTGGTATTCACATCAAAATCCTTTAATAGTCCAGTATGGTTTGTGAAACAGAAGTATAGCCAAATGTACAAATAATCTTCTCCTCCTCTCCCTCCTCCTCTTCCTCCTCCTCCTCAGCACATGGAAAAGATCTCCATGCTGGCCTTCCATCCTGTAAAGATGCAGAGCTGCTATGAGAAGGTGGAGCAGCTGAGTCTGGAGGGTCTGCAGCAGAGGTTCGATGTCTCCAGCCCCTCGGTGTTCGTCCAGAGAGCCCAGATCCTCATGAGAGAGGTGACACTCTAATACTGCTACTACCTACACCACTTTGCTTCTAGTCTAGCTTACAGTTTGGGTTGAAAATTGGGCACTGTTTTGGTCAACAGCTGCAGCCTCCATTATTAAAGCAGAATTCCAGTTTATTACAACTTGGGCCTTATTTGCATAGTTTTGTGTATCATTTCCATCAGTTATGAAAACATAGTGCTCGCCAAGTTAATTGCTGAGGTTGGAGGAACGCGATGACATCACTGCAACACAATCCGACCAGTCAAGAAACACGAGCAGTCAGATGATCTAATCTAATCTATCTAAATGTTTATTTAGAGTTACAGCGATTGTCTAATCATAGTTTAGCAATAGGAACTAGATACGGCAGGCCTCAAGCTTCAGGTTTCTAAACATGCATGGGGCGGTAGTAAAGGCCTAACATGCACTAAATGCTTCTGATCTTCATGTTTTGCAGTACACCTATTTTTTAAATGGCCAACATGCACTAAAAGCGTTAAAGATGTTTTATTATATAATTTCCAAAGCTAACAACACAACAGCCAAAGGATCCAGATAATGATGCATGCTGCTAACCGCCATATCAGAGTGAGAGAGAGAATTTGAACAGTGCCCGAAATGGACCGGCACTTCAGATTTTTGTCCATGAGTACCCTTACTTCTTATTGAGTACCGCCACCTATGGTGAGCATGGTGGAATGATCCTTTTTATACAAAATTCCCATTCATATTCTCTCCATGTATCCATCTATTTCTGCTGTTCATTCCCTTTCCCACTGAGGGGCTTTTGAACAAGTCATTTACCCCAGCTGTAGTGGACTGCCCAGAAGCCACCTGCAAAATGAATTAAGCTGTCTACTAAGCCTTTCCAATAATACAAAGTTAGATTTCACAACAGTCTGAAAATAAAAGGCTGAAATGTGACCAGTGTTGGGTTGTGTGTCCTCGCTGTTTGGACTGCAGTCCTCCAGAATAAAAGAGTTCTTGTCTGTTGTGGCTGGAAGTCTAAACACTTGGTTTGTAGTAGTAGAGACACAGTCATTATTCAGTGCCAAAATGTCTATTTATAGAGCCGTTCTTCTCTTGTTTAGTCAAGTTTATTTGTCACTCCGCTCAGTTTTCAGTGGAACTACTTTCTACTAAAGAAATAATCCCTTTACAAACCTTTGTTTTTTCATGTGGATTAATTAAAAAATTAATTTAAAAAAAATGTATGTCCCCTAAGGTGTTCTCCTAAATCAACTTGACTTTCCTGACTTTATTATCCTCTACTTTTTTATCATAGAAGTATATTTTTACATAATTTAAAACATGCCGAGAGGGGAAAGTCCCTTTACTACCACTTTGTCAGTGTCAAAGCCAGAATCTCAGAGAATTAGGCACTTTTTCTTTTGCCGAAATTACTAATTAATTAATTTGCCATTAATTTTGATGGACATATGGCTAGTTTGGAATGAAATCACTTGGATTCAGGTTAAAACATGAAGCTTTCCACATGAAGCTAAATTACCATGTGGCAGGTTTCTTAAATTCGTAATTGCTTGTAAAACGTAACTTTTATTTTGTATGTGCATCCAGCCACAGCAATAGTTTCCTCCTCCATAATTCGTCTTGTTTAAAGCCCAGGGCCTTGAAATAATTGTATTAATCTCCCATGTGTCCAGACTTGCACAGGAACTCAGTCTCAGGGAAGAGATCCAAGAAGCAGGCATTCTGGCATTCAACTCCCCCATGGAGAAATCACTTATCATGACCTCCTCAGTGGGGCCCAGGGCCAGTAAGGGGAAGGGGGGTCTACACTTTAACTCAAGGTCATTCTGAGTTCAAGTACTGTTTAGAAACTACAGATTCCCAAGCTGTGAAGCCTTTTTTTCAAGCCCTACACTGTAAAGATAAGACATGTCCTTAAAAACCTCACTATAGACAGTTTAGTAGCTGTTCTGGAGCTTTTGATTGTATCACACAGTCTTCATCAACAGATGGAGTTTGCCCAGTTGTTGTGTAATTATAGATGTTCAAATAGAGTATCAAGGACATAATCCTGTGTCCAAGGTCAAGAACACACTTTCACTCTTGACTTGATATTGTAGTTTTGTAGCGTGAGAGCATAAAGAAACAAAATGATCACCTCTCCTGCAAGTTGAGGTTGCATGTTAAAATCACATGAAATAAATCTGCTTGTGTTTCTCCATAAAAAGTCCTCCTCAAAATAACAGACGTATCCGTGGACATGTACTTCTGAGATTTAATGCCGTTATGTAACGGTGCTGAAGATATTCTACCTTTTAAATCTCATCAGAAATCGTGTCAGTACAGATTGTTCAAGCATGTGTTTCTAATCTGATTACAATACAAGAGCCAATTTTGCAAATCACCTAAGATGCCCTCTTTAGGCTTAAGTACCAAAAGGTTTCAGTGCTGTATGTTTCTGACCACAAAATGCATCACATGTTCTGCATTTGTGGATTCTTGGAATCAGGATGTTGCAGAGAGCTCATAAAGGCAGCAGCAGCAGATGACTGTGGTTGACCAGTGAGTGGATCAGATCCAGGAGATATTGAGGTCAATATTTGAGTTGTGTTGCCGCAGGGAATCATTCAGTTATTATTGAATTGTTAAACACTCCATGATTCTGCAAAAGCTCGGTAGGGTTATTTGAATTAATTTGTTGTCCCTGTGTGACCTCCAACGAACAGGTTCCCAGACTCTAGTTTGAATGCTAACATAGCCACTGTATGCTTACCTACTGTGGGGTATAATGATTTTTGAACCTTTCTGTTTGACATGCAAGTAAGTTTTTTTCAGTTTTAAATGGAACAGAAGAAGAATTTCCAGTGGCGTGAGATAAGTCATTTTACTTTCAAGAAACAAGGGGCAGTTATACCATAGCTTGTGTTTGTTCAGTTTGTTTAGGGATTGGAGGAGGTTCCGCCTGTGCTAACAGCTGTAGGAAGGCCCTCTAATGGTGGTTCAGTAACTCAAGAGAATAGGGTGTGCAGGTACATCATGGCATGGGACAGAGACAGCAGCACTGGGTGCAATTTAACCACTGAATGCATGCATTTTACCAGACACTCCTACATACACCAGCCACTTACATATGTAGCAGAGTTTGAGCTAACAATTATAATATTGCTTGCAAACCCTGCAGAACATACTATTAAGACAGACAAACATTTTAATAAATGGCAAGAATGTGTTTTTTGTTTCTTAAATGGAATATATTATAGTATGACATATGGATGTATTGTGGTCTGTGTAATGTAACGCATTAGCCTCTCTCTGTGTGTGTGTGTGGGTGTACAGCAAATGGACGATGCCAGTGAATACGTTTTGACAGATTCTTCACCAGAGCCGGAGTCCCCAGGCTACAGAAGAGCTCTGTAAGACCATCCAGTCTGCCAGGGACAGAGTCATATAAGGTAAAATACCACACAGACACACAGACACACACACACACACACACACACACCACACACAACACACACACAACACACACACACACACACACACACCTACACAACCACAGGTTGTAAGAAACCTTTTAAAACATTTTTATATATAGTATATATTATCACAGGATTTCATTAAATTCCTGTGCAAAAACAAAATAAAAATATTGTTATCTGTAAAGTTTATTTTATTATTAAGATATAAACTTAAAAGCAATCTGACAGAAAGGGGGAAGACCTGAACACAAGCTGTAATTCAACAGAGCCTCCCTCCTCTGGATGATTTCTTATTGCAGGATGAAGGCCGTTTATCAAAAGAGCCAATACAACAATGAGAAGAAACAATTAAGTCTTAAATCTTTCAAATCTAATATGAAGAATAAATATTTGTAAATTGATATTAAAGTACACAATACAGACCAGATAATTGTATAAAACGGTTGCCTGGAATGGAAATAACTCGTGCTGAGATTTCATCCAAATGCTCTAAATTTTACACAAACGTCCTGCAGTTATTGTGTTCAAGAACTGTTTGGGTCATTGTACAGTTACAGTTGTCCTGTACTGTTATTGATATACACCCCATGAAAATAATGTCGCTGTCCAGTTTTACTTACGGAAGAAAAGGGCCTCCCTTAAGGAAAAAGTTTTGCAAAACACTGACCTAATCCTAAAACCAGAAGGCAGGAATATTTTACCTCCACTTGTCTCTTTATGACTTGTCATAGCAGACAGTCACACTAATGGACATTAACGACGGCTCTGTTTTTATGTCCCCAGTAAGTCAGCAAAGCCACCAGTGTGGCATGAGCCAGCATTATACAGTACCAGGAACCTGAACTCCGAAGCAGCAAAATGGAATTCTCCCTACATTCATTTTCGAATGTGTGGTCAAACAAACAAGTCTAAAGTGGCTTACATGAAAAGAGTCTATGGCTGGTGTCTGCTATATAGCCCATATTACCCAATCTGCATTTATTTAAAATTGAATCTTAATTCTGTGTAAATGGTAGTTTACTACGTTTTTTTTAATAAATACATTTATAATAAATGTTAATGTTTATATCAGTCATGCATAATTCCTCAAATAAGTGAACTATAAGTTAAATTATAAAATATGTAAATGTAAGTTCAATCAACCAAATTTTATTTTCAATATTCCTATTTTCAGTGCAATCATTAACTGCTATAAACTGTTGATTAGTCTTATTAGTTTTCAGTCAGTTCAATGCAGCTTCAGATCTGTGATATTGCATGATGACAAGAAATGTTTTACTGTGAATTTATTGAAGGATTCCAAACATTTAAAATGAAACTTTTAAGGTTTTTTCTAATAAATCAGACACTGGTGGCACAGGGCTGTATTGCAGCTCTTTCTAAAGGCATTTTATTTCTATATTTATGTAACTATATCTGTCAAATAAATGTAATGTAGTAAGAGGTACAACGTGTCTCTCTGAAATGTAGTGGAGTAGAAAAACAAAAAATCTAAATATTCAAGTTAAATACCCAAAATAAGTACTTAAGTGCAGTACTAGAGTAAATTGTATTCCCCTGTATTTACTCTCTACCACTGGTGATATATCTTGCTGTGCGATCATTCAGACAAAATGTTAGTTTGGGGAGGAAGGCTTTCACTGTAAACTCATGCAGTGATAATAATGCTTTTTCTTGTTTTTTTTCCTTTTTTGTTCATTTGTTGTTGTTTTTCCAGAAATTTGACTATGACAGCAGCACAGTGAGGAAGCGTTTCTTCCGTGAGGCTCTCCTCCAGATCTTCATCCCCTACATGCTGAAGCAGCTCAGCCCTTCCTGTGCCTCGGTGAGTCTCGGAGTTATAGGTCTGTCTATAGTTCAATTAAAGATATCTCTAAACCAGTTCTGACTATTCAAACTGTAATTTCTACATGTGAAAATATATATTATAACGTATCTAAATTGTGGTACAGATATCTTAAATTAACATTTCAACATGTCAGTCCTACTGAGCAGATGTTAAAAGGGCTTGCCATACCAAATCTATCATGTATCTAAATGAAAAATACACAACATGTAGTGAAAGTGTGCATCCAACATGTGCTAGTATTTGACGATGGATTCTACCATCTTTATCTGTTTTGGTATTTCTTAGGAAAAACTGACTAACTCTCCGAGTGAGGATGAGGATGTTCAGTATAAAGCAGTTGAATTGAGTTGATAAAAGGTTTTTGTTGTTGAACACCAGGAGCTGCCGCGCTTCCAAGAGCTCATCTTTGAGGACTTTTCCCGTTTCATCCTGGTGGAGAACATCTTTGAGGAGGTGGTGCTGCACTCTGTCATGAAGGACATCATGATGGGTCAGTCTTCTACAGTGTTACTCACCTGCCTGTTTTTACACTCACACATGTCCATAAAAACACCTCCTATACAGTGTTGGGCAATAAGGCATTCCTAATAATAATATTACAGCAATAATATTACTTTCCCCCGTAACTAGTAGTGTAACTAGTTACTAATACATTTCAGTAATAATATTACAGTTACCTCCCCAAAAATAATTAGTTACAATCTTATTTATGTTGGTACAATCACATCCCTGGATTTACTTTTGTAATCATGGAGGAAACTAGTTTGTTCGGCATTCGGCTTCTGGAAATATTTCATTACTTTGATTTTAACAAACAAAACTGGATTTTAATGGTTGGTAAAGTCAGAATTTTGGGGAGAAAAGACACAATTACCAATTCTGTGGGGAGAAAGTAATATAACTAATAGTGTAACTAATTACTGTTGGCAGGGAGGAGTAAGTACAGTACCATAAAATTTGGTCAGAATTACTTGCAGGTCCCCTTTACTAGCGGGGTGTGGCTACATGTTTTGACAAATAATAATATAATTTTATAGAAGTTCTTCGGATAAAACCTCTTAAAGCCCACCAGGTCGCCCACCTGAGCGAGTTTTATGCTGCTTAAATCACCTACACAGATATAAATGTTTAAACTTTTGTCAATATGGACGTGCTACACATTGTTAGATCAGTAAGATTCTTCTCAATTCAATCCTTCAGTTCATTTTACAGAAACCATATGATCAAATGAATGATTTGTAATTAATGTTATTCAACAGCCTCATTTTTATGAAGTAATATTCAGACTGTTTTAAATAAACAATCTGATAACATTTCCCATCTTTGCTGAACAACAGTTTTGTGCAAAAGGAATTAAAGGCCTGTCCCAAATAAAGGCAGGTTTAGATCAGTGTTTTGTTAACTTTAAATGCTATCAATACTGCCACTAATACTTTTCCAAAATTAATAAATGATCCATTTCCATGCTTAGCTTGTAGTATGATCTCCTGATTTTGTTTTTGTTTATTATTTGATATTTATTGTTTGCTTGATTACCTTGTTATTTTTGCTTTGTTAAATGGTTTATTGTATTATATTGTTTAACTGTCACTGAGCACCCCTATCGTTGAAATGGTACATCCCATTTCATTCCTCATGAAGAATTTTCTATAGTATTGTAGCAGTTGCATAGCTGCAGTAGTGTAATTCAATACATTTTCTTTGTCACCCGTCCTGTTGAAGCACATTTGAACCTCTTCTCTCTGTGTGTAGCTGTGAAGGAGGCGGCTGTTCAGAGGAGACACAACCTTTACAGGGACAGCATTGTCCTCAGCAACAGCGACCCCAGCCTGCACCTACTGGGAGAAAACCCCTCCATCGACTGGGCCGGGGAGTACGGCGGAGAGCAGCAGGAGGAGGTGGACGGTACAGGGGAGGATGCTGAGGGTGACGCTGAGGGGCAAGGTGAGGAGTCCCATAAGAGGAGGAGGATGAAGCAGGTTGTGTCCATGATCCAGGTGGAAGGCTCCCCAGTCCTGCCTGGCGAGTCATGCATAGAGGTACCCGGGGTCAACGACATCCCAGAGGAGGAGGAGGAGGAGGAGGAGGAGGAGCAGGAGCAGGAAGAGGAGGAGAAGGATGGAGATGGAGATGGAGAGACGGGAGGAGAAGGGGGGGGGTGACCTTATTCTCAAAGGAGCTGATTGAACATGACAGCAATAAAAATAAAATGTTGAGACCGTATGCGTGAGCCATAACAGGATCTGTTTGGCAGAACTTCAGCGTGACCCTGCAGGGGTCAGACACCATCATTTTTTTTTTTTTTTTTGGCAGCTTTAGCTTGAAGCCACGGCTCTACTCTGTGGATTGACTCCAAGTTTCAGTCTGTTGCATAATGTGCCACCACACTGAAGAAAAAAAAATGTTGTTGTTTTTGTCTGTGTACTTCTGCTCTTTGCATCTTTAAAGGACATGCACTTGGATTGTTTTTTTTTTTTGTATGTACAGGCTGGCCTGTCTGTAATCCTGTGTCCATCCTCCTGCTGCCCGAACCTCCACTGGTATTGAATAATACATCCAGACATGCTGTCAGAGATCAGTTGACCCTGAAACTATTGGATTTCACATTAAAAGCCCCAGTGCCGCAGATGAGTACAGAGTTCTGCAGACAGTTTTGCTTATCTATGCTCAGACCTTGCCTGAGGGCAAGCAGTGGTGAGATAAACGTGGCTTGAGTTATGGTACACATGTCCATCCAATTACTGAACTTCAGTGTTTTGACCGTGCAAATGAAAGATGAGGGAAGCTAAAACACACACACTCACAAGTGCTCAGGGGCAGTGTTTTATGTACTTTTTTAAAAGATGAAGACAAGGCCAAACAACTACAACACTAGCATGGAGCTGGCAATAGCTTGGGGTTTTAACTTTAAGTTTTAACTTTTTTTTTTTTAACCAAGCATCACCCTACAGTGTGTATGCACCGGTGACTAATCGCTTACACCGGGTAATTCCTTCTACCTGCTCCTAAGCTCTCATAACCGTGTCCTTAATATGGAGACTGTGTTCCTTTGGATAGCATCAATTATTGACACTAATGCGTCATAATCAGTGTCATAATCACTGGGTGCAGATAGAAATAAAAGATTTATCAGCGTGATGTTGTACTGATGAAAAGCATTCTCATTGAAGGTAGCATGCCAAAGCTCTGTTTAAAATGAGCTAAGGAGCCAAAGAGAGAGAGGCAGAAAGAGAGAAAGACAGAAAGAGAGAGAGTGTGTGTATTCCAGTAGGGATTAGATAACATGAGTTCATCAGGTTTACCGTTATGTTTCCTCCCCGAGGCGGATGTGCTGGCATTTGTGTCTGTGGATGACTCTCTCGCTCACTCTGTCTCTCTCTCACACACAACCACACACACACACACACTCTCTCTCAACATGTAACCTCACTTAACCATCTGACCTCCCTCTCTCTCGTCAGCTTGGCAGCAAACAACAAACAACCTGTAATGTCATTTGCAATCTCCCCTCCTCTCTTCTTCTTCTCTTCAGTGTAAATTGGGGTAAATGTAATCTGGAGCTGCTGCTGCCGCCGCAGATGACGATCCACGACTGTTGCCTCTGCTGTCGTGGGTTGTTGATGTTTGTTTCTCGTGCAATTGCCCTGCAATCCTTTCACATGCCTCGACTGCCTTCACAGCTCTCTTCTTTCTTTTTTTTGGTGTCATGTCATCAGGAAGGAAGACAAGAGGAAACTGATAGAGATTTTAAAAAACCATCACGGAGCGGCAAAGGAGAGCAGAGAAGGCGAGTTTAGAGAGAATCGCAGAGCGTGCAGTGAAAGCTGCAGATAAAGTTGAACAAGCGTGGTGTTCCTTTAGCGGCAGACAAGTTGCTAATTAAAACTATGGGAAACTTCTGTGAGGGAGACGCACAGTTAGGAGCGGGGGCTCAACAGATGTTGTTGGACCATATGGAATATGTAGCTGTTTCTTATGATGATTCAATCGTCTGGATTTTGTTTTGTTTTCGCTCTGCTCATCGTTTATGCTTTTTGATTTGTTTGGTGCTAATGGCTAAAGGCTATTCCTCTGTTCTTAGTCTTTACTTTCTCCTTTATCTGAAAATATCACACAAGTCCTTTCCTTGCTTTTCCAAAGCCTCGCAGTTAACTCTGAACCTGCTTTCCTGCCATTTGTTACCCTTCTGATTTGTGTGAGGCTGAAGTGTGTCCCAATAAGGGAGTGCCGCGGTGAATAGTGGCAGCTAAAGAGGCACAGGGCTTAGCTGATCAGTAAGACACAAACTCCTCACACCAGCGAGATCTCAGCCCCAGCTTAAAGGCTTCGGGGGAATGGATTTGGACTAACATCACATGAAATTGCTTCTTCAAAGTCTCCTTATCTAGGCACGGGGAAAATCTCAAAATGGTTTTGCAAGTGGTTTAACCGCTAAAAAACATGCAATCACGTTTCACACTTTTAAATTACATACTTAGCTATTTTCTTTAGCAGGGCAGAGGGTCAAGTGCTTAAAGATTTGTCCCCTTTCAGTTCTTTTCAAAAAGGTGCAATATTCGTGTTATCTTACTTTCACAGCCAGACGACTGCCCATTCTAAAAATGCATATTTCTGGCAGATGAATACTGATGAGCATTACAGACATACATGAACACACACACACACACACATATACTGTATGGTGGTCTAGTCCCTGTGCAATTGAAACTGCGCACAAAAACAAACCCTAAAAGGGATGATGGGACTCAGTTCCCATCTGAGAGACTTAAACTTGACTAATCTGATAAGTACAGAGCTGAAACCAGCACTGTAAGCTGCCTGTTGTTTGTTCACCTGAAATATGGGACATCAGCAGTATTTATAGTTACAGACATGATTTTTGCATGCTTGACAGTCCCATTCCCCATAGGATGCCAAACATGCTCACATATGGAGAAATCTAGTCACGCCGTTCAAGTGAGGAATTCAGAACTACATCATTACTGCAGCAACACCCACGAGGGATTTCTTGAGTCTGATTACAGGTGTGATGGTGATGCAGCTACGTATGTGGCGCTAGCATCATCACGGCCCCTATAATCAAGGCGGTGATTGGCCTCTTGGGTAACTGTGACTTTTAATACAACACATGCCAACAATTGTAAACAGTAAAGAATATTTTTAAAGAATCGCTAAATGGTGTGTTTCACTGACTAAAAAGAATATTTTAATCATCAATCTGTACCAGATTTAAACCACTGTATAGCTTGTTGTGATGGAAGTCCTGTTACATAAGGACACTGCCGTATAAAAGAGGTCATCCAGTGAAGCCCAGCCATGAGGATTTTCAGCTATCCAGGTCAAAGCTGTTTCACAAATTATCAGCTACAGGCAGACATCGCAGGCAGTTTCGCAACAATTCACACCTTACAGTCTTTCACATGGCTACAGTTTTCATGACTGCCTTGTGACCTTAATGACTCACATATGACTTCAGCCAAAGCCTTGTGTGACATAAAAGTGTGGCCTAAGGGCCTGTCCACACAAATACATTTTTTTCGAATCTGGATAAATACTTTACCGTATCGGGCTCACGTCCAGACGGATACGGCGTTTTTGGGGTGTGAAAACGGTATTTTTTGAAAACGGGCCCCAGAGTGGGAAAATCCCAAAACGCTGGATTGCCCGGAGTCGTCTGGACGGCGAATACGGATTTTTTCAGAAAAGATGACGTATTAGCCCCGCCTCTCTAGCCTTTGACCTCAGCCGCCACCGCTAGACGCGTCATAACAACAACAACAACGGCAGACTACAGGCTTGTGCACAGC